GTATAGTAGTGTATAGTAATGTATAGTGTAGTATATAGTGTAGTGTATAGTGTAGTGTATAGTAGTGTATAGTAATGTATTGTGTAGTGTAAGTAGTGTATAGTAATGTATAGTGTATTGTATAGTAGTGTAGTGTAGAGTAGTGTATAGTGTAGTATATAGTGTAGTGTATAGCGTAGTGTATAGTAGTGTATAGTGTAGTGTATAGTCGTATAGTGTAGTATATAGTGTAGTGTATAGTGTAGTGTATAGTAGTGTAGCGACATCGCGGATACCACAGTGGTGTGGGTGTAGTAGCGGCCCTAGAGGGGCTCGGTGAGCGCTGATTAACAGCGCTGGGTGGCACCACGCTAGGCGTGCAGTGCCAGCCCCTACAGGACAGGGTGTGTGAGTGCCGGGCGAAGGATGAGGTTACTAAAGGCCATGGCACTCTGGTTGACCTGGGAGGACACGTGACCAGTTAAGTCGACAAAGGGGCCCCAAGTGAGGGCTCGGGGTGGTCACGTGGTCGGGGTCCAGATCCTTCCCGAGGATTCTGGAAGGTGGGCGTGGCCAAGGGCGGAGCCAGCCACGTCGCAGAGAATATAAGCGTGTCCCGAGAGGGACCGGCGTTGTTGTTGTTCATCCTGGAAGAAAGCTTCGTCTACGTTCTCCGTTCAACGAGACTCCAACACGTGGACCCGGGCCCGAGGTGTTGGTCCCGGTCCCTAGTAGCCAGTTACGTTGTAATTAGTGTAGTTAACCTGGTGGTCAACACCAGGTTAACTACACCAGTCACGTGGTTACTGGTGTAGTTAACCTGGTGGTCAACACCAGGCTAACTACACCAGTCACGTGGTAACTAGTGTAGTTAGCCTGGTGGTCACCACCTGGCTAACTATACCAGTCACGTGGTAACTAGTATAGCTAGCCTGGTGGTCATCACTAGGCTAGCTACACCAGTCACGTGGTAACTAGTGTAGCTAGCCTGGTGGTCACCACCTGGCTAGCTACACTAGTCACGTGATTACTAGTGTAGTTAGCCTGGTGGTCACCACCTGGCTAGCCACACCAGTCACGTGGTTACTAGTGTAGTTAGCCTGATGGTCACCACCTGGCTAGCTACACCAGTCACGTGGTAACTAGTGTACCACCTGGCTAGTTACACCAGTCACGTTGCAACTAGTGTAGCTAGCCTGGTGGTCACCACCTGGCTAGCTACACCAGTCACGTGGTAACTAGTGTAGTAACTAGTGTTGTAACTAGTGTAGTAACTAGTGTTGTAACTAGTGTGGTAACTAGTGTAGTTAGCCTGGTGGTCACCACCACAGGTTGTTATTTTGTTAAGGGAAAGTTACCCCGTGTGTTGGAGTTCAATAAATGTGTTGCCTCCAAGTCTACGTCTGCGACTCAGTTGAACTCACTAAACACTGCTGTTGCATCATCATTAATATGATGGTGCAATGGGGTGGCCAGGGGTTCGCATTGTCCCTCACATCAGGAATCGCGGGTGCATATAATTCAATCATTTATTTTAATCTTTATTGTAAACGACTGAAAATACATTAATAAAGGTGCCCAGTATGGGGGGGGGGGGGCATCCCCCCCCCCCATGTGCCCCCTCCAACTCCGCTCATGATTATTTTTTATTAACTACTCACTAGGTATACAGTCTAGGCTTGCACGTGTACCGTGTGACACGGTACAGGGCCAGCGGTCGACATTACGTCTGAACATGTGTTCGCCAAGGCAGATGCTTGATGGCCCGCCACGAGTGAGAGGAGACGTGAAACTCATTGGTTGCGTGATAACGATGCTTTGGTTCGTCACGTGCGATCAGTGCCACGGTTGCCTCGAGCCGCTGGCAGCGCACGGCACTTTGAGAATCACGAGTCCCCGAGTCTCGCCCACACGTGGGTGTTGGGCACAGACGCGGGCATTTAAATTGGATTAGGGTTATAGGTGTGAGCGAGGAATCTCGGGGTGACACAGTTTGTGGGGTGGCAGGGTGACTCAGAGATTAGATATTTATAGTTGAGCCGGTACTGCTGAGATCCTGGGCTCGAATCCGGGTTTCAGTCGCCACTGCCTGTGATAAATCCTTGTGATTAATCCTGTGATTAATCCTGTGATTAATCCTGTGATTAATCCGGCTTCTCGAGTGCAGAAGAGCCGAAAGCTTGGGCCTTGTCAGCCACGTTCGAGCGCGAACCAAACACAGCTCATTTAACATTTGGATTGTTACGTATCTCGGTGAAGTTATTACTAATAAACGCCCTCTTTAAGAATGAAATATTGGTTTGAGTGCCATTTTACGAACATCAATCTCATAGCAGAGTGTGGAAATGTTCAACCCCTCGTGTTAACGCATTTTCGCGTGTAAAATCTCTCTTCTAACCTCGACACAATAGGATCGCTCCACCTGAACTTTCCAAATAAAAAAAATTGTCCCGCGACTTGATGCCGAAAATACACCAGGCAATAAAATTGTCAAAAATTTCAAAGGGACAAAAAAATACACGATGTTGCACCGCTGGTGACTACATCATCATCAGCTATGTTCTGTCCACTGCTGGTTGAAAGTCACCATGTTTCATCGTCTGGCGCTTGCCACATTCTCTTGTCACGTGAGCTGGATCTCAATGCTCCGTCTTTGCTGTGGTGGCCCTGTTGCGCTCACTCCATTGGCTGCCATTCTGCCACCAGTCTCGCCCATGGGTGCATTATTGTGATCACGTTTCGTGAAATCTTTATATTTGTGTATGCTAGACAAATTAATCTTTCGCTATGTGGGACCCGTGTTTCTGGATGGGGGATGGCCAGTTACTGACAGGCATTGGGGTCATCTCCACGTGTCTGGCGACCAAAGGGAAGGCCTGAGAGCAGGTGGTGGTGGTGGGAGACAACGAGCACAGATCGTAGAGGTCACACTGTGTCCCCTGTAGAGGTCACGCTGAATCTCCTGTAGAGGTCACTCTGCGTCTCCTGTAGAGGCCACTCTGCGTCTCCTGTAGAGGTCACTCTGCGTCTCATGTAGAGGTCACTCTGCGTCCCCTGTAGAGGTCACACTGAATCTCCTGTAGAGGTCACTCTGCGTCTCATGTAGAGGTCACTCTGTGTCCCCGTAGAGGTCACACTGCATCTCCTGTAGAGGTCACTCTGCGTCTCCTGTAGAGGTCACTCTGCGTCTCCTGTAGAGGCCACTGCGTCTCTTATAGAGCTCACTCTGCGTCTCCTGTAGAGGTCACTCTGTGTCCCCGTAGAGGTCACACTGCATCTCCTGTAGAGGTCACTCTGCGTCTCCTGTAGAGGTCACTGCGTCTTTTGTAGAGGTCACACTGCATCTCCTGTAGAGGTCACTCTGTGTCTCCTGTAAAGGTCACTGCGTCTTTTGTAGAGGTCACTCTCCATCTGCTGTAGAGGTCACTCTGCGTCTGCTGTAGAGGTCACTCTGCGTCTCCTGTAGAGGTCGCTGTGTCCCCGTAGAGGTCACACGGCATCTTCTGTAGAGGTCACTGTCTCCTGTAAAGGTCACTGTGTCTCTTGTAGAGGTCACTCTCCATCTGCTGTAGAGGTCACTCTGCGTCTGCTGTAGAGGTCACTCTGCGTCTGCTGTAGAGGTCACTCTGCGTCTGCTGTAGAGGTCACTCTGCGTCTGCTGTAGAGGTCACTCTGTGTCTCCTGTAGAGGTCACTGTGTCCCCGTAGAGGTCACATGGCATCTTCTGTAGAGGTCACTCTGCGTCTGCTGTAGAGGTCACTCTGCGTCTCCTGTAGAGGTCACTGTGTCCCCGTAGAGGTCACACGGCATATTCTGTAGAGGTCACTGTCTCCTGTAAAGGTCACTGTGTCTCTTGTAGAGGTCACTCTCCATCTGCTGTAGAGGTCACTCTGCGTCTGCTGTAGAGGTCACTCTGCGTCTCCTGTAGAGGTCGCTGTGTCCCCGTAGAGGTCACACGGCATCTTCTGTAGAGGTCACTGTCTCCTGTAAAGGTCACTGTGTCTCTTGTAGAGGTCACTCTCCATCTGCTGTAGAGGTCACTCTGCATCTGCTGTAGAGGTCACTCTGTGTCTGCTGTAGAGGTCACTCTGCGTCTGCTGTAGAGGTCACTCTGCGTCTGCTGTAGAGGTCACTCTGCGTCTGCTGTAGAGGTCACTCTGCGTCTCCTGTGCAGCAGCAGCAGCAGCCGTGGGATCTGGTGGAGGAGCTCAAAGCGTTGGTGGGGTGGTGACATTAATGGCCTCGGCAACGATGACGTCTTGATCTTGAAAATTGTCTTTTTGAAATGTACGCATCACAAACACGCAGGGCGGACAAAAGAGATTTAATTTTTGTATTTTAACATCATCAATATTTACAGTTTTCACATGCCAATTTTGCATACACAGAGCTCAGAATAACGCTAAATCATTACGATATGGACGAGAATAATACATTTTACGCGTGAGTGTAGTCCGGACCAGGTTTAAAGTTTTACACGTGTGGTACAGATTTCAGGTGTTGGCAAACAGCCGTGTGATGTTCAACGCAACCCAAAGAATCGCTCGCTCAGAGTTTCGCAACCGCAACAAATGAACAAACCCTGGGTCTGGGTTCAGACGCGCTCACTTCGTCTCGTCAGTCGGTCGCGTTCTGGGTCCCGAGTGGGCAGCAGCTGAGACGGTCACCGTATTCGTCCTTGACTAAGATGTATGAAAACACAAACAAAAACTCTCGTCGCTGATTTCGTGAGCAAAAACACCGAGCGGTGAGACCGGGGCGAAGGGCCTCCTCCTGCCTGGGGGTGCCGTGGAGACCGGCAGAGACTCAAAACCCCCCCAGCGACGACGGAGCTTAGGCCGGGGTCGACCATCGTTTGTCAGCCTAATACAACAACAAAAATCGCTCACGTCTGCATACCGGTTCTCACCAACGCCATCGCCTTTACCTATCACGACACCCACCAATTTGTATTTTGTTTTGTATAAAATAAAATCTATTGTGTTTGTTGTCGTTGTTATCATATACTTTACGTTAAAACATTTTATATATATAGAATGCAATGCATCAGCTGTAACAGCCGTGTAAAAATAATATCTAAAGGGTTGTATTATCTAAAGAGATTTTATTACAAGCTGGTTTGGCCAGACATGATATCATTTTGCAAGCTCTCCCCCCCCCCACCCTAACCCCTCAGCTATTGTTCATCCCATGCCATATTTCATCAGCCCCGGGAGTAATTTGGTCTTCGAAGGGCGCTGAGTGTTTCCTCATCGTCGGGGGGTGGCGGGCGGGGGGGGGAGTGCCTTGTAGTTATTAAACAAATCACACCTTCCCCCTGTGGCATAACGATCGGCGCACCATTGGACTCTTCGAGCCGATCTCCCTGGCGCGGCGGCTTCAACAATGGGGCAAGGTTCTTAAAGTCCCACCGCCGTCTCTGTCCACCCCGCAGTGCGCACAGCTTCGCCACCACAGCGAGTCCATCGTCGGGTCGAATGCGGCGGGGTAAAGTGTGGACACTCACACCTCTCCCAATACGTTTGCCCAGCGTGGTATAGTAGGCAGGAAAAAAATGCCCTCTGGATAGGCCCTTAATATATATATTTTTTCCGAGTGGAGGCTCTTCCGCCGGCAGTGGCGTGAGCAAAGCATTTGAGTTTTTCTGCTCCCGTGCCTTCGAACCCCGATCCACATTCAAATCTACAACCACCAAAGTTTACCGATGGCTGCCAGTGAGATGTGCACTTCACAAAGCATCACGGCGGGCACCATTAAACAAAACCGCTCCAGCACTGGACGCGCTTATGTGAACCGAGTAATTTGCCTCGCGTAGCGTGCGGCTTTAGAGGACCCGTCGCTCGGCGTGGGCCTGCAAGCGAGCCTCCTGACCGTCGCAATGTCACCATCTGTCGCGCTCATGCCGTCAGTTCCGCTGTCATTTTAAATTCAGCAAATTTGAAAAAAAGAGCCGCGGAAGTGATGGTATCACGTGACTTCCGGGTCCGTTAATTACTCCAAGCAAAAAAAAACGTTGAGCCGAGCGCTCATTTTAAATTGGTTACAGCCGTTTATTTTCAAGAACCTTCAATTGCCGTGCGTGTTATTTTGTAAATAACGTGCAAGGAAATAATGAGCGAACGAGAGACGATAAATATTTTGCAAACAGACGACGACCAAACTCTCGTGGATTCTATATCGCATCATCGTTGGTCTCGCCACAATACGGTCACCGCAGCCTACGCTCGAGGGAATCAGCGGACCTTCCGCTCGTATCCTCGGCTAGGGAATCAATCGATCCTTGCAGGACCTTGCGCCTTTTGCTGTACCGCATTCTCTGTTTAACACGGCGAATCTGGCACGTGTCACCGTGTCAACAGTTAACACACGAATCTGGTCACACGCGCCTAAACGAACGCACGCACTCTCACTGGAAGATCCACCCCGCAAACTTTTGCTTTAAAGCACACAGGGGGTGAAAGTGGCATGCCACGGAGAGAATAATGGTAACCGGGCGTTTGACCTCTGCGTGCGTGTTTTTTTTTCTTGTTTACCGGCTGTCCCGGCCGTTTGACCTTTCCGACGCGGTGATTTGCGGATCGAGCCGTTGGGTAGACTCCCATGCCTCTATGAGGTCATCGCCCATTTCGGAGGCGTAATCGTCGCCACCGCCGCCATCGCCGTTGTCTTCATCATCAACCTCATCCTCCAAGTCCTCCAAGTCGTACTCCACCGTCGCTGGAAAATATAAACAAATGCAATAACGATAACCGAGATGCCGAGGTGTACGTTTCAGATGGCAAAAAGCGCAACGTATGCTGCTGCATGGCAAGATGACGGCACCACCTTTGGGAACGGCGGGTCAAACCCACAGCTTCTCCGATTCAACTAAAAACTGATAAGAGACCGGTTTACAGGTTCAACAGGGCTCGGAAACAATGGGCCGCGCTTAACTGGGTCGGCGCAAACCGTGCAAGATGCGGACGCCGCCGGATGAACAATTAAAGACTCCCGCGTGTGTCCGACTGCGGCTAAGACCGCCAAACCCATGGATCTGGTAACGCCGCAACTTCCCCGAGTACACGCGTCAGGCGAGTGGGCAAGCCAGCAGAGGCGTATCGGCGAATCCCCAGCTCCCGAGGCGACGCAATTTGACGCGTTGAGAAACCCCTCCCAGCGGGCGACCGCTCCGCACGAGCCGCGCGACAGAAAGCGGAGGGGGGATTTGGAGCCGCCGTACTCACGGCCGCAGAATCCCGGCGCTCGCGGCTCCAGGTACACTCCCCGCGCGCACGCGGCCTCGCGCATCGCGCACGCGCTCGGGTACGTCACGTTGTCGGAGGCGCACACGGCCGCCCGCTCGTCCGGCCCGTGGCGGGTCGCCGCCGTGGAGCAAGGGGCCTCGGGGCAGAGCACGCAGTGCGGCCGCCGCGCCTCCGAGTCCCAGAGGCAGCGGCGGCCGGGGCCGCAGCGCGTGTCGGCGCAGGACGGGCGGTCTGCGGGGGGAGGGGTGCGGGGGGAGTGGGGGGGGGAGGGGCGAAGTGCGTAACGATCGGAGCGGCACGACGCGAAAACTTGTTTCGCGCCGTACGTAGCCGACCCGCGCTAAACGGCGGTGCGGGCACGACGTGGGCCCATGCGCCCGGAGGAGATATCCCAACAAGGGCAAGTAGCTAAGCTTTGATCGTGACGATTTATTTGTACGGGGTGAGTGAGGGCCAGGTGGCTGTATAACCCCACTCGTTTTCAAGTCGCTGTTTATTTGGGTGGCGGTGTAAACAAACTGGAACCGCTTTTGCCTTCTGCCATCGCAGGTGGCACCGACGAGTGAGACGTCTGGTCCACGGGCTCACGGACTCCGGCAAGCCGTTGATCTGAGCGAGGCGTGTAACGCGTCAGCCCCCCCCCCACCCCACTCCGCCTCGCTGTGATCCGAAAGGGTTAGGGATTGGCGGCGGGCAATAGAATTAGGGGTTTTAAGAGTTTAGATCTCGGGTTTACTGTGGGATTTAGCGTTCTGGGTTTAGGAGTTTGTGGTTTAGCAGAGACGAACGCCCTGCCAGGGCCCCGCTGTGTGCCACGCCGATCTAAGCCCCCCACGCCGGCAGACGATGTTGGGCTCAGGGTCAGGAGAATCGTGCTGGGGGTGCACGGTTTTATGCTTGGGTTTAGGGACGGAGTTTCAGAACAAGAGGTTTCGGCTGAGGGTTTAGTGTCAGGTTCAGGGTTAGAGTTTTGTTGTCGTTGTTGTTAGAGATCAGAGGGGTTTACACTGGCAGCGCCCGTGGTGAGAGTGAGGGCTCAGGGGTTAGGGTGAGGGCTCAGGGGGTGAGGGCTCAGGGGTTAGGGTGAGGGCTTAGGGGGTGAGGGCTCAGGGGTTAGGGTGAGGGCTCAGGGGTTAGGGTGAGGGCTCAGGGGGTGAGGGCTCAGGGGGTGAGGGCTCAGGGGTTAGGGCGAGGGCTCAGGTGACGAGGGCTCAGGGGTTAGGGTGAGGGCTCAGGGGGTGAGGGCTCAGGGGTTATGGCTCAGGGGTTAGGGCGAGGGCTCAGGGTGGCGAGGGCTCAGGGGTTAGGGTGAGGGCTCAGGGGTTAGGGTGAGGGCTCAGGGGGTGAGGGCTCAGGGGTTAGGGTGAGGGCTCAGGGGGTGAGGGCTCAGGGGTTAGGGTGAGGGCTTAGGGGGTGAGGGCTCAGGGGTTAGGGTGAGGGCTCAGGGGTTAGGGTGAGGGCTCAGGGGTTAGGGTGAGGGATCAGGGGGTGAGGGCTCAGGGGGTGAGGGCTCAGGGGTTAGGGTGAGGGCTCAGGGGTTAGGGTGAGGGCTCAGGTGGCGAGGGCTCAGGGTGGCGAGGGCTCCGGGTTTTACCCTGGCAGGGCCCGTGGTGCGCCACGCCGATGGAGCGACCGCGTTGGCAGGTGGCCCGGCGCAGGTGGCACACGCCGGGGTAGGTGACGCCGTCGTTGCCGCAGAGCGTGGAGCGTGGCGGCACCTCGGTGGTGGTCGTGGTCATGGTGGTGGCGGCGCAGGGACGCAGGCTGCAGCTCACGCAGTGCGCCGTGCTGCTCTGGTCCAGCAGGCACACGGAGGCGCCGGGGCACGGCACGGCCGCGCACGACCCTGCGGGTGGGGGGGGGGGGTTGGGGGGGATGGGGGGGTGGGGGAGATGGGGGGATGGGGGGGGATGGGGTGGTGGGGGTTGGGGGGGGGCAGACAGCGGCACTCCGCTCTGAGTCCCCCCTCGGTTTTGTTTTGGTTTGTAAATCGCGGTTTTTGCCGAGCGCGGGCTTTAAAAACACGAAATGCCAAAGCTGGCCAGCGTCAAACAAGCGCCTTTTGCAGGCGTTAGAACGGATGACGGCGGTTGACGCGGTCGCTGAAGTTGAACAAAGTTAGGGGAGACGGGAGAGAGTTACAAAGAAGCACAAACTGAGTAAGTGAGCGGGTGTGTGAGTCGGGCGAACGAGCTTGTGAGTAAGTGAGCGTGTGCGTGAACGTGTGAGTGAGCATATGAGTGAATGTGTAGTGTGTTTTTTCTCAGGTAGTTTGAAGAGAATATATATTAAAAAAAAACAATTATCCAAAACTACAAACTCAGTGGAATTTGTTTTTGGTTGACACTTCACGTGGCCTTAAATCGCCCATAGCCTGTCGCAAGCGCCGCGGTGACATCACCGCCACTTAGTGGCGAATGACGGCGGTTGTTGTTGTTGTTGGAGTGAATGGGCGAGTGTGTTGTTGTGACCTGCAGTGTGGTGGTTGAACACAGTGTGGACGAGAGAAACATGGGTGGAGGAATGAAACCCGAGCGAGGTTCATTGGGAATTGTAGCCATGGCAGTAGCGGTGCTAGAGGTGCTATGACGCTCTCATACCTGTCAACCCCTTATCAGTGCCCTCTACCTTATTATTACAGACCAATTCAGACCTTATTGCTCACCCCGTGCCCCTTATAAATCTCAACGTTCATCCTACAAAGTCCCTTGACAAGGAGAGAAACGCAAACAAATAGACACAAAATTACAGGTTTTTTTTTGGTGTGTGCCTATATTGAAACGGCTGTACGCCATGCGGACCTAAAAACTCAATTTCCCAGGTACAAGAATGCCGTGAACCCGTATGGGTTGACAGCTATGGGCTCTTGAATGGAGCGAGGTTACGCGAGGCTTGGGAACAGAAGTGAGGCGAGCCTCGCTTCCCGGTCACGTCCCCAGCCCGAGCTTTCGGTATCCGTGGACACCGCGCGCGATCCAGGACCTGCCAATTGGGGTCCACGCCGCGTCGCGCGCCTCGAACTCCGCCAGCGAGGTGGACGACGCGGCGTGGGCGTGCGTCGAGAGCGCGCCCACGGACTCACTCATGCAGGGCCCCGGGTACTGCACGGAGAGGCCCCTCTGCCCCCGGCATCGGGCCCTCAGCAGGGCGCACTCGTCCCTGAAGGTGCGGCCGCTGGAGGCGCACACGGGGCCCGCGCGCGTAGCCGGGGGGCACGGCGGCGCGCAGAGGCAGCGGGGGGCCCCGTTGCGGCCCACGCGGCACCGCTGGTCGGGGCCGCACTCGACGCGGTCGCAGGAGCCTGCCGTGGGAACATCGACGGCGGTGTCAGCGGCGACGTCACGGGGCGAGCGGCTCGTCTGTGTACGCAGCCGCTTAATGGTCCTGTTGACGCTGTGGTCTGCTACACCACCGCCCCCCCCCCCCCCCGCCCCGCCCCCACGGCTGCAACTTCAGCTTCGTATAAGTCGTCCCTACGATCCGTCTAAATGTGAGATCTGCCCGAGCAGGCTCGCGTCGCGGCGAACTTATTGCTCAACGCCAATTTAGCGTTTGTGCAATGTTTATATATATATTCTTGAGCAGTTTCTCAGGAGTTGACACACGGCAACTTTGTTGGGGTTTTTTTGAGGGGGGGGGGCTCTTATTTTTCATCGCTTTGTTGCCGCACTTTATTCAAATTGTTTTCCTCCGTCTGCACTCCGGTGACCTCGGACGACTCTCGCAAATGAGGGTCGTCCTGGTCCTCCTCCACCCGAGATCTCGCCCGGGTAAACAACACCTCGGCCGTGGCAGATCATTGTTATAATTCAGTAGGCTCACATGACATTGACTTTTCCAAGACAGATGTCCTTTGTAAGCCATCTGGCTACCATGAGAGATTCGTTCATGAGGCTATCCACATATACAAGCACAGAGACAATTTCAACCGAGAAGATGGATTCTGGCTTAGCAATCATTGGAAAGATTTGATAAACCATTTCAGGTCTTAATTGATTGTTCACGCTTACAGTGGCTTTCAGACAGCATACATTAATTTTTCGTCTCCCCCCTCCTCTTTTCAGAACATAGATGGACTAGTCCTTCTAAATAAACTGCCAAATCGCTGCGCGTGGCGCTGACGTTTTTTTATAAATAAATACACCGCTAAAAAATAAATTAATTAATGCAAACCGACACATCTGATGACGACCGTTTGTGTTATGGTCGAAACGTGAGAATTTTTATTGTTTTAAATATATTTTATTATTTTATTGTTTCCCTTCAACGTGACTTTACCGAAGGAGCTAAGAATATAAAATACAACTTTGTTTAACCGGCCGCTTGTTTCGCCACTCAGCGCGGCTGGAATGGCCGCAGAGGTTGTGCCAGGCTAGATGCACATTGAGGGTCACGTCAAGATCGCGGGACAGACCCGGGTTGAGTTGATGTTGTGGCACGTGATGTCACCGCTCGGGGAATGATCTTGGGCATGAACATTGTCGTCTCGAAACAACTTTCCACCACCGCCTCCACAATCCGCGTCGTCATCATTCTTATCATCACGAGCGCTGTCTTCATTATCATTCACCATCCCGGCCTCTACCAAAACTTCCATCATCATCATCACCACTACCACCACCGTCACGACCATCACCGTCACCAGCAACACACTGTCACCACCAAAACCAGAATCACCAACACCAATACAATCACCACTTGTACAATAATTAAAATTATTACCACCAACACAATAATTACCACCATCACCATGATCACCATGATCACCAGAACCCTCCTGCGGCTTGTAAAAAAAAAATTCCTGAAGAAGGGCATTGTGGTCATCCTCTTGCCCTAGGTCACCATCAAAATCAATGTGAGCAAAAACGCAAGTGCACGGTGGTGCCCCTTGCCGTAGACGCGTGACTTTCCGCTGTCGTTCGACAGCGCGTTCGGCATTAGCAAGCCCGGCACTCATTGCCCCCGCGTGCCTCCAGCGGCCATCCGTGGGCGCGAGGCGCTTACCCCGGCTGCAGGGCACGCACGGCGTGGCGCCGCCGCTCAGCTTCCAGCGAAAGAGACTCTCCGGGGAGGCGTCGAGGCCGCTCCACGCGCGGCCCGGCCCGTGCGCCGAGCAGCACTCGGCCATGGAGACGCCGACCTGCAGCAGCGAGCCCTGGCACCTGCCACCCTCGCCCCGACGCAGCCAGCAGATGCCCCCTGCGCGCCCACGGAGGTGACGCCGAACAAAAAAAACAAAGTGGAACGAGGAGGTCGACCTCGTGACGCCGTGCGCCGACGCCGATGACGCGCGGTGCCCGCTCGTCGCTCCTCGTGCAGACGGAACGACGAGCGGGCACGTGCGGCGAGGGGTCGCAGACGAGCGGGAAGGCGGCGGCGGTCATGCGGTGAGCCGGCACCACATTCACAATCCCCCCCCACCCACCCAAGCTCTGCGGTCCTCTATGCATGAAGGTGTTGTCGACCAATGAATGTTTATACGTGTGGGAGGAAGCCGGAATGAGAACTCCCACGCGTGTGCTGAAAGGGCAACGTTCTATGCCGTACAGATGGGGCCAGATGGAAATTAGCCCACGCTTACTGTACCGCCTTCTTGGCGAGCCGTGGTGTGGCTTCCTCCACGACGCCCTCGGGAAGGGAGTCTCACGATATCTGCGTGTCTGTGTGTGATCCAGTAACCCCCATTGCTGCCTCCAGAGCGACGGATTATAGGCTGCCACGTGCGCGTGGCCACCATCACGTGTCAACGGCAGAGGTGGTGGTGGTGGTGATGAGGGGTCGTCCATAAATGACGTCACGCGATTTTGAACGATTTTTGACCGCCCCCCCCCCTCGTCACACGGCGTCACAAAAAGTCAGACCCCCCCCCCACCTCAAATATGACGTCACAAAGCTCTGCCCCCCCCCCAAAAAAAATGCTTCAAATCGCTTCAAACCATTGTCATTGTAGTGCGTATTTAATGTGGCGCTGCGCTCTGATGTAGGAGAAACATTTATTAAAAAGTCTATTTAATTAAGTAGAACGTGTTGTCTGTATTGATTTAAAGTTGCGCATTTTGATGTGACGTCACATTTCTCAACCCACCCCGCCCCCCCTCGTCACACATCGTCACAAATGTCTGACACCCCCCCCCCAGGTGCGTGACGTCATGTATGGACGGCCCCTGATGATGACGATGACGACACGTGCACACACATCGTGACGACGGGGGATCCATGCCGCAGCCTCCTCCACGTCTCCCTGACGGGCGCTGTGGTACAATCAACGCGGACTGCAAGGGAATCACGCCATATCTTGCTGATATTAGCCAATCAAATGAAGGGGGGGCGGGGTCCGCGGTCACATCATTACTCGATCCACAGATCTATTGGCAATTAATCGACACAGTTGATGAACTCATTGTTGTTGTTGTTGTATCTTCACATCTTGCAACTCAATTTTAACCCACTTCTCAATGTGGTATCGACTGCAAACTTGATATACTTACGTCATACTGATGACAATACTATATTCTATCAGAAAAAAAACACATTTTGCATTTTTTTAATGTTTTGTTTCGGCTTGGGTCTAATTGTCCACGGTCAACATGACGATGGCTGTAAATCACCACGGTCGCTTACGTTATGGCAAGCTTCGGGGCCACTACCTGGAGTCGTGGAGTTCTTACATTAATAGTACGGTACATTCCATTAATGCGTGTTTTTATGAAAGTTTTTTTTTTAATATTACTTTTTGATGTTCGTTTATTGTGGACCAACTGAGCGCGAATCGATGGAATTGATCTCGATTAACGATCCGCAATGACCTTATATGGGCAAACACACTCCGCCTTCGGCCAAAGCCACGCTCACTTGCTTCTTCCATATATGTGTGGGGGTCACATCCATGATCGGTGATTTTGGCGGGTGTACGATTTTATCGCTCCATAATAGAGGTTGTTTTGGGTGAGATCGCTTAAATAAGAAATCTGTCGTTAAACCCGTCACCACCCGAAACAGTCAGTTAGTAAGGTTTGTCACTTAAACAAAACAAAAGCCTCTCTTATTGATAAGCATATTATGGATAATATTGGTTGCGAATGTCTACGTGTTAAACTGATTGTATTGCTCTATTACAGCGCTGTAACAGGATAAAATTAATCCTCGACAGGATGAATGATAAATTACGTTTATAATTTTGGCCCATATGTGGAGTAATTGGGCATGGTTTTGCCCATATAAGGAATACTGGTACGGGAATCGACGTATTTATAACGATAAAATATTGTAATAAACGGGAATCGACCAAATTTTTTTACGATGCAATGTTTGATCCATGCTCGAACAAATAGGCACGTGCATTCAAAATATCACAGCTTGATCCATGCTTGATTCCAGCATGGACGAAGCGTGGATCAAGCTGTGATATTTTGAATATACACGTTTTAATCGTTAAAGTGATCCCTTCCTTACCGCATCAACATAACCTATCATCCATTGTGTCGCGGATTCATTTTTATCCGGATTCTAGCGTCGTTGGCCGCACGACGCTGCTGAAACGCGTCGCCGTCGAATCGCCCAGCGTGAGAGCCACCGCGCCCAGAGGATCTTCTCTTTGTGTGAGCAGGAAGCCGCTCGCACGCAGCTCCGTCCCCGCAAGCGCGTTTGCAGGGACGGTCCGCGCGACGCGTAGGCGACGCAGTCGCGTGCCAGCGAGTTGAGCAAGCGGTCGCTCAGATGCGGGGACACGGCTATAAGATCCCGCACACTTAACACGGAGACCCAGAGACCCACAATGTCGAGGCTCTCGCACTGGACACGGAGAGTCAGAGGCGTACACTCGGGGTCGCGGTTCTTACAGCTCGGCTCTCGGCTCGGCCTCCACAACAAGAAGACTCCGCTCAAGCTTGAGTCGCTCAGTTAACTCCACAAGTCGCGTGAGTGAGCGGGCTCAGCCTTGGCTCGGCTTGTGGCAAATCAGTGCCGGCTCCATATATGACGTCACGCGATTTTGGACGATTTTTGACCCCCCCCCCCCCTCATCACACGACGTCACGAAAAGTTAGACCCCCCCCCCTCAAATATGACGTCACAAAGCTCTACCCCCCCCCCAAAACCATATTTCCATTTTGAAAATAAAACATGCTTCAAATCGCTTTAAACTATTGTCATTGTAGTGCGTATTTAATGTGGCGCTGCACTCTGATGTTGTAGGATAAAACATTTATTAAAAAGTCTATTTAATTAAGTATAACGTGTTGTCTATATTTATTTAAAGTTGCGCGTTTTGATGTGACGTCACATTTCTCAAACCCCTCCCCCTCCTCGTCACACATCGTCACAAATGTCTGACCTCCCCCCCCACCCCAGGTGCGTGACGTCATTTATGGACGGCCCCTTAAACGCAAGGCTTTGAGCCGGCTCACTTGAGCCAGGGCCGAGTTTGAGCCGAGCCGTGACTAAGAATGCGGGCTTAAGACGCACACACCTAGCGACCCATAGTCAATCATCATCATAATCTTCATCCAACAGCAGCAGCAGCAACAGCACCACGCAGGTTCTTCCTAAGGACGGAACGGAACTCAGTGCCTCTGGCAGAGCCACACGCGGGCACACAGACCACGTGGCCTCCGGTCTCTTCTGACAACGCCAGGAGGCCCTTGCTGTGACCGAATTGAGTGATCGCTTTGAGACGTTGAAACGTAAGCATGCTCATTATTATGATTCCGCGTGGTTACCCAGAAGGAGAGCGTCCTACAGAGTCGCATGACTCTTGTTCAGCAGGGTCCTGGCAGAGTTTGTTTTATTTGTTAAGCTTCCGATTGAGTAATTTAAGATATCATTTTTCAAATTAAGAACATCAGAAGTTGAAAATATCTACCCCCCCCCCGCCCGCCGACGCCGCCGCCTTCTAGTAGTCAATTAGGGCGGCTACGATCGTCGGAAGTGACCGATGGACATCGGTTTTTTTTCGCGTGGCCGTGTCAGAGTGTGGCCGTGTCAGAGTGTGGCCGTGGTTCAGTTGGGAACGGTGTTCGTGGGCTGGGTTCAGCCCGCGGGCAGTATGAGAGGAGAGGGGGGGGGCACATGCCCCCCCCGCCGCTGCCCAACCCTAGCGGCTCCTTTCAAAACTCACCACATCAGCAACCACTAACCGCTAGCCTTCATATACCTGACGAAGCTATTTAGCGCGATAACGGTTCGGGCAATGGCACCTTCTTCAGGGCAGAGAGGGAAGAGCGATTGGTGGGACCTTGTAGGTGGCAGGTCACAGTGCAAGTTTTGTTGGGGGGGGGGGAGTGGGTGTTTCGACCATACTTCACCCACGATGATTCGTGTGGCTCTGTATAGAGAGGATATCACTCGCCACTGGTGTTGTTCGTTGTGCCCGGGAATCGAGCTCAGGTTGCCGTCGCTGCGTTTGCGTCTCAAGACGTGGAAGAAAGGCGGCGGTCAGAACAGCAGCAGAGAATGAGCGATCGCCCATCGGCAGTGAGCGGGCAACGGTTCACACCAAGGCCGTAGCCACGGAGTCAACATTGAGGGAGACCAAATCTTTCAAGGGTGTCTGGGGGTCCCAACCCAGAAAAACATCTAAATTTCAAAACTCATTTCCTACCGAACATATTTAAAAATTCACTAACACATGGGATGGACTTTTTTTAAAATTTTTTACAATAATATCTAATAGCGTATTGTGTTACATTGCTCTGTTTTTACTTTTTTTTACCATTTTTTGTTTCATTGTATGTAATGTTTGAGATTATGAATTAATAAAGTACAACCTATAACCACAATCATATAATCAGTGCATTGATTTATATGAAGACAAGTCCAGATATCGTGGCCAAGGTTTAGCAAATTATTGTTTTTATTTACATAGAATAGCAATTTTTTTCATAGCAATATATTGGGGAGGGGGGACATTTTGAGCATATTTGAATATTGGGGGGGATGTGTCCCACCCAATTTATATTATAATTACGGCATTGGTTCACCCCTTGGGATTCGAGAATTAACCTTTTGTCTCGATAGTACCGTCTCCTTTGTATTGTTTGCCTCTTCGGGGGTGTTATTTTTCTACCTCCCATTTGGTGCATTTGTGAACAATAGACGCGAGTACATCTGATGGTACGTACTCATTGCTTCACTGCTGTGGTAGCCACGTATACTCCGCCGTGGGTCCGTTTCGTCGAGAATTTATTGCGTCTCATTTGGTGTCGTGCACTCGTTTGTCTCATCGGTCTCTAATTTTGTACCCCACCGGGTCTCGCGTGTCCTGCCCGTATGTTCTGTCTCCGTCTGTGCTGTATGGAACGCTTTGCTCCATTTGTATCGTCGCGTGCGCTCCGTTTCGTTCTCGGTCTCGCCTAGAGCTAGATAATACACGCTGGGTGGAACGCCCCGTTTCGCCACCACAATTTATGATCTTCAAAATGAAGAATTGTATTTTGTATTTTACCAGGTAAGGCCCCAATGAGCTCTGAGGGTCTTGTTTTTTTCTTCTTCTTCCAGAAGCGATCTGGCAATCACAAATTATTATAGCTGAAGGAAGTGGCTCATCGTGCGGACATTATAGCAGCCAAACACTCTGAAACGCGTGGCGATGTTGATTCTAAATATGGAGGGAAAAACCGGAGGACCCGGAGAAAAACACGTGACCACGGGGAGAGAGAGAGAGACACGCAAACTCCAAAAATAAAGCAGGCATCGGGTTCAAATCCACGATCTCCTGCATACCAGGCGAGGTAGTTAACATCTCATAGCCATTTAAAGCTTTCGTGACTGCAGGGATTCATCTTCTTGGTTCTTTCGTTAAAGTCACGTGGAATGGAAACAAAGTAATAAAAATAAAATTAAAATATAAAAATAAAATAATAAAATATTTTGTTTTATAATGTTTTATTTTTATTACTTTTTGTGTAAATAAAATATGTTATTTTATTATGTTTTATTTTTATTACTTTGTTTCCATTCTACGTGACTTTACCGAAATAACCAAGAGGATCTCATAGCCACTGTGGTGCCCAGCAGTCAGGGTTGGTGGATGAACCACACACGGATTGACTCCACTCGCTCACTCGCTTGCCGGCGGTTAGTCGCTGCTGCATCACCCCTACGACTTTGGCTACTACCATCGGCAATGTTCCAATCAACTCCACTCACTCACCCACTCGCCACACTGCAGGTCGCCCACCTCACTTCTCTTCCCGCTTCTTCCCTCGCCCTGCCTGCTCCACGTTTGGATTTCCCTCCCCCTCCTCTCCATCGTCGTCTACTCTTTCTCCGCCAAACTTTTTTTTTTACATATATAGCGGTGACCTTATTAAAAATCAAGAAACGTATTCAACGCGTAATGGTGCTGTTTATTACTGGTCGCTTGGCGTTTTCCGCCAATGGACCCGTGATTAGCACTTCGGGGGTGGAGGTTCTATGAAATAGGTATCATAGAAGAATCGCTCCCCGTCCATCGAAATGTGGGGAGGGCGTGGGGGGGCGGTAGTGAAGAGCCGATTGCCAGGAGAGAGAGAGACCTGGGGTGGTCTCTGTATAGCGAGCAAATGGGTGAAGAGAGATAGAGAGACCTCGCTAAAGCAGGAGCACACGGCGGTGAGGTTTGTTCGCGGTGTTTCCCACCACTGTGCTCCGAGCCTCCTGCAGGATACGATCTGTGTATGTGTGTGTGTGTACACGTGTGCATGTACACGCGTGTGTACCGTTCCGGCCTTCATAGGTGCTCGCTAACGGCACTTGCCCCTAGAGTCTGTTAAGGCTATACGGGGGAATCTTTGTTTGTGTGTGCGCAGTAGGGGGCACAATTGGTGCATCGGCCAGTCATCTCGGTCAGTTGACCCGTGGCACCACCTGGGTCTGCCCCATGACCTCCTGCCAGCGGGTGTTCGACACTTCACGTGGCCTCAACGTGCACCTAGCCTGGCACAAGCGCCGCGGTGACGTCACCGCCACTTAGTAGCGAATGGCGGTTGTTGTTGTGTGCACCCTGCACGATTTGGTAATGCGTGTATAAGATGTAACTGTGGTGTATGAGACTGGCGTGTATATGGTTAAGACTTGTTATGTATGAGACTGAAATAATTCGATTAGACAAGTTCGTGAGTATCGGATCGAATTGTCGTCCTGCAAGGTCTTGAACGCGCTGGCAAAGCGACGCTGCATGCGGTGTTGGCGGCTGGCGAAAGCAGCGAGCGCCGTGGGTCATCACGACGACGACGATGATGCTGATGCCGATGATGATGATGACACCTTGATGTTGGTTTGAGTGGCATGACCGCGACGAACAAAGCCACGCGTGTCGTGAAACGGTCCGTGACGAACAAAGCCACGGGTGTCGTGAAACGGTCCGTGACGAACAATTCCACGCGTGTCGTGAAACGGACTCGACGAACAAATCCACGGGTGTCGTGAAACGGAATCGACGAACAAAGCCACGGGTGTCGTGAAACGGTCCGTGACGAACAATTCCACGGGTGTTGTGAAACGGAATCGACGAACAAAGCCACGCATGTCGTGAAACGGACCGTGACGAACAAAGCCACGGGTGTCGTGAAACGGAATCGACGAACAAAGCCACGCATGTCGTGAAACGGACCGTGACGAACAAAGCCACGCGTGTCGTGAAACGGAATCGACGAACAAAGCCACGGGTGTCGTGAAACGGAATCGACGAACAAAGCCACGCTGTCGTGAAACGGACGCGACGAACATAGCCACGGGTGTCGTGAAACGGACCGTGACGTACAAAGCCACGCTGTCGTGAAACGGACCGTGACGAACAATGCCACGGGTGTCGTGAAACGGAATCGACGAACAAAGCCACGCGTGTCGTGAAACGGACCGTGACGAACAATGCCACGCGTGTCGTGAAACGGAATCGACGAACAAAAGCCACGCATGTCGTGAAACGGACCGTGACGAACAAAGCCACGGGTGTCGTGAAACGGAATCGACGAACAAAGCCACGCGTGTCGTGAAACGGACCGTGACGAACAAAGCCACGGGTGTCGTGAAACGGAATCGACGAACAAAAGCCACGCGTGTCGTGAAACGGACCGTGACGAACAAAGCCACGGGTGTCGTGAAACGGAATCGACGAACAAAGCCACGCGTGTCGTGAAACGGATTCGACGAACAAAGCCACGGGTGTCGTGAAACGGTCCGCGACGTACCTTCCACTGCGGTGGCCGCATGCAGCAGGTGCAGCAGGAGAGTCACGTGGACAGTCGGAGAGTGCCACCTCGTTTCCATCGCCTGATTAGTACCCCGGGAGGTTTAAGTGGTGGACACGCGCGCGCGTGTGTACACGTGTGTGTGTGTACACTACGTGTACACGTGTGTGTATACACGCGCTTGTATACGTGTTTTCGTATACACGTGTGTGTACACGTGTGTATGTACGCGTGTGTGTGTACACGTATGTTGTGTGTCAACGTATGTGTGTGTACACGTGTCTTTGTACACGTGTTTGTGTGTGTATACGCGTGTGTGTGTGTGCCACCCTGCACAATTTGGTATGATTTGTATAAGATGTAAGTGGCGTGCACAAGACTTGTGTGTATGAGACTGGTGTGTATATGGTAAGACTTACTGTGTATAATACTGAAATAGTTCGATTAGACAGGGTAGTGAGTGTCGGGTCGAATTGTAGACTTGCAAGTTCTAAGGAGTAGGAGTAAATTGTGTGTGTGTGTTATGGGCAGCCGTATTTATACGAGAGCTCAGTGAGCGCACAAGGCCAACACCACACCCATCCACAACCACAATCACCACCCACAACCACTCACCACCGCCACACACGCGCACACACACGCGCGCGCGCGAGACAAAGGCAAAGCTACCCCGTATAGCCTTAACAGACTGTTGGAGCAAGTGCTGTTAGCGAGCACCTATGAAGGCCGGAACGGCACACGAGGGGGTGGGTGACCAGCACCACGCCCGACCGCCTTTGTCTCCCGAGTGGCGATATTTACAACACCGCACCAGGTACTAATTTGAGGCTAAGTCGACCTAGGGGAGGCCCGGTGCCGGTTCAGAAAATCGTCACCGGTGTTGGCCGTGAGCGGGAATCGAACCTGAGTCGCCAGGTTCATAGCGCAGCGTAGCGCTAACCTGCTGCACCACCGCTCCCCACACACACACACAAAGACCCCCCCCCCCCCACCCTATTGGGGGTTGCGAGTGTTGTGAGCTCAACGCTTAACCGATGGTAACTGGCGCGTCGCACCAGGGAGTGCGAGGCGAACATCGCCACAGCCCGGCCGCTGTCGTCTCCCCGGTGCGCCGCTGTTGACTGAGCCACACTTCGCCAGCGACCCATTGTCGAGGCCGAGTCGACCTAGTGGAAGGCCAGGACCGGTCCACGTACTTCGCCATCGTCGGCGGAGTTGGCTGCGAGCCAGGAGGGTTCCGAACTGGGGGGTAGCCCCGGTGCGGCTCTTCGTTCGCGCAGCGCGCTAACCACTGCGCCACCGCTCGTCACGCACACGCACGCACACACACACACAAGTTCACACGCAGACTTCAAAGCCAGTGGCCGATTTAAGGGGCCCAAACATGATGACTTTATTGCGATTAAAAAGCGTGACTTTTAACGGTGTATCGATCCGCCTCTATTTCACATACACAATCATACACACAACTACACACAATCATATACACAACTACACACATTCATACACACAACTACACGCAGTCATACACACAACTACACACAATAATACACACAACTGCACTTAATCGTACACACAACTACACACAATCATACACACAACTACACACAATCTTATACACAACTACATACAATCATACACACAACTACACACATTCATACACAACTACACGCAATCATACACACAACTACATAATAATACACACAACTGCACACAATCATACACACAACTACACACAACTACAAACAATCATACACACAACTACACATAATCATACACACAACTACACACAATCATATACACAACTACACGCAGTCATACACACAACTACACACAATCATATACACAACTACACACAATCATATACACAACTACACGCAATCATACACACAACTACACACAATCATACACACAACTACACAATCATACACACAACTACACAATCATACACACAACTACACACAATCATACACACAACTACACAATCATACACACAACTACACAATCATATACACAACTACACACAATCATACACACAACTACGCACAATCATACACACAACTACACACAATCATACACACAACTACACAATCATACACACAACTACACAATCATACACACAACTACACAATCATACACACAACTACACACAATCATATACACAACTACACACAATCATACACATAACTACACACAATCATACACACGACTACACACAATCATACACATAACTACACACAATCATACACACAACTACACACAATCATACACACAACTACACACAATCATACACATAACTACACACAATCATACACACAACTACACGCAGTCATACACACAACTACACACAATCATACACACAACTACACACAACTCAAATTCGGTTGATATATTCAGTCATCCAATCTCGAACATTGTAATGACAGCCAAGGAACTTTCACGGATATCTATCGTAAGGACCTTTCGCTGATACCCATCCAAGGAACTTCCACGGATATCTATCGTCAGGACCTATTGATGATACCCATCCAAGGAGCTTCCACGGATATCTATAGTAAATACTTATCGCTGATACCCATCCAAGGAACTTCCACGGATATCTACCGTAAGGACCTTTCGCTGATATCCATCCCGACGATGAAGCCCAAGGAACTTCCACGGATACACCCTTCTCAAGGAGTCGATTATAATCGACGGGAGCTCAAGAAAAAAAATCCACGAATATCCAAACCCGCCCATCGCAGCGAAGACCTGGAAACTTCCACGGAGATTCTCCCTCCCGTCTCGGGGGTCAGGCGAGGTCAGAGTCACGGGTGTCTCGTGTGGGGGGAGGGGGGGGTGTCGCTCTAGGACATGTAGAGAGGAGGGAGGGGTGGGGGGGCTGTGACGTCACCGGCTTGAGTTATTTTCACGACATCGCACGATATGAGATCGCGATGTAACGATTATCGCGATACCAGTCCCCCATTCGTTTTTGGTGCTTTGCTGCACTACAAGAGTGAAAAGATGTATGTATACGTGAATCCACGATATTTAACATCATCACTGCATCCACTATCCATCAGTAGTTTATGATCGTGGTGGTGTTGATGATAATTCACTATGTAACACAATTTTTGTTCCTGGGTAGTAAGTGTTAATTATAAATTGCTGATGCCTAAAAAGTACAGTAAATGGCTATTATTCCCCACAAACTTTGCTTTTGTGACCAGGACAAAATGCGAACGAAAGACACAAATGCACACCACGTTTTCTCTTTGAAAATTGGTAAATAAAAAAATATCACTGCCCTGGTCACAAAAGAAAAGTTTGTGGCGAATAATATCGATTTTCTGTAATTTTGAGGCATAAGCAATTAGGAAATAACACTTACTACCTAGGAACAAAAAAATATTACACAGGATAATAATTTAAATTTATATAGCGTCGTTCATGCTCGGTGCTGCGGTGGCTAGGAGATGTTAACTACCTCGCCAGGTATACAGGAGGTCGTGGGTTCAATCCCGACCCTGACGCCTGCTGTATATTTAGAGTTTGCGTGTCTCTCTCTCTCATCATCATCACGGTGGCTAGGAGATGTTAACTACCTCGCCAGGTGTACAGGAGGTCGTGGGTTCAATCCTGACCCTTACGCCTGCTGTATATTTGGAGTTTGCGTGTCTCTCTCTTTCATCATCAGCACGGTGGCTAGGAGATGTTAACTACCTCGCCAGGTATACAGGAGGTCGTGGGTTCAATCCTGACCTTCATGCCTGCTGTACATTTGGAATTTGCGTGTCTCTCTCTCTCTCATCATCACCATCACGGTGGCTAGGAGATGTTAACTACCTCGCATGGTATAAAGGAGGTCGTGGGTTCAATCCCGACCCTGACGCCTGCTGTATATTTGGAGTTTGCGTGTCTCTCTCTCTCTCACTCATCATCATCACGGTGGCTAGGAGATGTTAACTACCTCGCCAGGTATACAGAAGGTCGTGGGTTCAATCCCGACCCTGACGCCTGCTGTATAATTGAAGTTTGCGCGTCTCTCTCTCTCATCATCATCATCACGGTGGCTAGGAGATGTTGACTACCTCGCCTGGTATACAGGAGGTCGTGGGTTCAATCCTGACCCTCACGCCTGCTGTACATTTGGAGTTTGCGTGTCTCTCTCTCTCATCATCACCATCACGGTGGCTAGGAGATGTTAACTACCTCGCCTGGTATACAGGAGGTCGTGGGTTCGATCCCGACCCTGACGCCTGCTGCTGTATATTTGGAGTTTGCGTGTCTCTCTCTCCCCTTGGTGGCATGGATTTTTCTCCAGGTCCCGCCGGTTTTTCTCTCCACATTTTGAAACAAGCCTTCCGAGTGTTTGATGTCCACATCATGAGCCGCTTTGTTGAGCTATCATTTGTGATAACCAGATCGCTTCTGAAAAGAGCGCTATAGAGCTGCGGGCCTTACCTGGTAAAATAAAAAAAAAGTTCATAGTTCAGTTTTAGAGTTTATAATTACATCCCACAACGCTGTACATTCGGTATATACAAGGGCCAAATAGTGACTGCCAAGCCAATGAAAAAAACCCTCGGAAAATCTTCAAGACTAAGCGGATAAATGGCGCCAAAACTGAAAGGCACAAACAACAAAACGGTGATCACAACAGAGACATTATTGGTCCATTCGGTCATCATGAGGGTGATCCAGGACAACTGGGGGACGCGCGTGACAAAGCTCGTCCGTCCGACCGATCTGCTCCGAGTCTGATTCTTTTGGGGGGCGCAGAAGCAGGCACTCGATGAGATGAACCGAGAACCCGGGGAGGGGAGTGAACTGAACTCGGGGGATAAAGATAGGCGGGGGTGGTTGTGGGGAGGGGGGCGGTCTAGCCCGTGACGAATATTCAAAACGGTGATTGAGCGAATTCAAACTTGGAAGGTGATTTTCTGAGTTTGGTAGGAAGCCGGTGGAGGGATCTTGAAATGGGGGTAATACGATGGTTAACCGCGTGATGGTGATGGTGGTGGTGGCGCTCACGTTCACCGGTGCGTAATTTCAGCCGGAACAGTCCGGAACGTCGCTGTTCCAGGCGAACGCATGCGCGGTACTTTACGCAAAAGTCTCGTCCAAATAGGATCGTGGTTACGCGAGAGACATCGTAACCCCGTGTTACGGACGGACGGACGGCTAACGCGTCAACACTTTGATCCCTTCGTTGCCTGCTACGCGTTAAAGCG